CAAATTCCTGAACCAATGCTTTAATCCACTAGGCAATTATCCTGTAGGATAATCCTGAGTGGTGAACTTGGAACCTCAAATCTAACCTGCTTGTTGAGTGCTTGATTAAACAAAGTGTTTGGTTTAAAATTCTTTGAAGGTTACCCAGATTGGTAAACTGATGAAGGCTAGATACACACAATGGTCAAAATGTTGTGATGACAAAAGGATGAAGACAATAGTCCGCATGTAAATAATAATAATTTCTCATCCAAGAAATTCGGACAGAAATTTATAGCCTAAGCTATTTTATCTTGAAAAAGAAAATTAGGTTTCATTGGACAAGATTATGGATTACCTTTTATAGCAGTGTAAGTTTTATTAGTTTCATGTCAGGATTTGAGGCTTAGTGGAATCCTGTGTCATAAATTGGATGAAATTTGCTTAAAAGTGACCAGATGTTACCCAATGAACTTTCTTAGCAGCAATTGATTCAATAAAAATCCTTATTTTCATTAATATACAGGGTGTCCCTAAAGTCTCTAAAGTCTGGACACACAGGCAAAAATGCACATTTTCAAGAAATTAAATTTTCAACATTTTATTGAATTGGAATATCAACAAATAACATTTTCAATATGATTTCCATCATTTGTGATGCAAGGGTTGATGCACTTTGCAAGATTCACCTGAAATCGATGCAATACCTCCACATTTCCATCAATTTTAGCACATTCACTCTTTATGCATTCAATCAAGTGTGTTGCATCTGTGTTTTTCATTGAGTACACCTCCTTTAGCATATCCTAGAAAAAGAAGTCAGTTCTTTCTTCTTTCGACAAAACCATGTTTAATCTGTGGAGGTAAAAAATATAGTTAATGAGATTTCCTATGGGTCCTGACTTTAGAGACTCCCTGTAGAATATTAAGTCATATATTTTTGCTGTCCACATTCATAATAAAAATCTGTCAGTGTCATATATCAAAAATATTTTAAAAATATATGATAGTTTTTCTCTTTTCAAGCAGATATATTTTGCAACTTGTGTTTGATAATATCAGCATTTCTTTATATTCTGAGAAATTTAATTGCATAAGATGTTATTTGTTTTTCATACTAAAATGTTTTGGGTTGTTCATGGCTCTCCACGTCCTCCACCAAGTCTTTCCTGATGCCATTTGTCAGGTAGTCATCCTGCAGCATATTTATTGGCCATCTTTTTCTGTCTAGTGAGTGTCAAATTCTCCAAGCCTTGTTTCTCATTCTGTGTCTCAAAAATTTAAACTCTTTCAGACTTCATGGTGTTCTTTCTAAGCATGGCTTAGATTTGGTACAAGGCTGAAAGTATGTGGCATCCAGTGAGGATCAAACTCACTGCTCAGTTGTAATTGTTCTAGCAAGACAAGCATGCTAACCATTGCACTACCTTGAGGTGCCCCTTTTTCAGACTTTTTATTTTCATTTTTCTTTAAAACTTTGCCATTGCTCACATGCTCTGTCCATGGTATTCTCAGCCTCAAATATTTCTTGCCTCAAGTCATCTCTTCATCTGTGAGGAAATTGTCCAGCGTTCAATGTCATATCCATGAATTGATATTATCAGCTCAGTTTTTCATTTTTTTTGTTTCTTAAGAAAATTTCATAGCCTAAAGTTATTGTTCACTCATGGCAAATTTGTCATGTTGCATAAATCTATATAGGTATTACTTTGAGTTCTAATGAATCCTGATTTTAAACCTCATTCCTCTTAAACATGTCTTTGGAAAGGATGACGTTAAAATAATAGTTCCCAAATGGTGCAGCAGTAGTAAATAGCAGGTGAGGCAGAGTGATTGAAAGACAATCAAAGATTTAGAAACAGCAGCAAAAAATCATATGCCAAAAATAAATATGACTTCAAAATTTAAAATATTATTATGGATTACTTGTAATTACATGCACGAGTCCCAGTATAAATAGTTATAAATAATTATTGATCAATTTTATTATTGTGATATTTTTGCATTATATCAAGTATTAAGACTAGGCTCCACAAATTGCAGGGGAGAGTTATCAATGATAATGTTCTGACTTTGAATCTGTGGTTATCTCTCTTTAACCTTTTTTTTTTTTTTTTTTTTTTTAAATGTACTTTTTATGACATAAAATTTGGTGAGACACAAGCAAATTTTAATTCTGAAAATGCAGCCCAGATAAAAAAAAGTTTGAGAACTGTGTTAAAGAGTTCCCTTTTGGCATGGTGAAGGAGTTCACTTTAACATGCTCCTTACTAAGCCAGTCTAATATTTTAAAATGAGCAAAAGATTATTTTATGTTTAGAAGCAATGTGTATCATTTGAAAGTTTATCCTTTCTCTTATCTCTTCCTCCCCCCATGTGGGACAGATAGGTTTATTTTTTTTTCACCCCAAGCAAGGCAATAAAGTCACTAGGACACAAGAGGTTACTGAGTGTGAGAGAATATGATAAAAACTACTATTAAGGAGAGAGGACAATAAAAGAATAAGAATTAAATAGGTAAGTTCCACAAGCAAGAAGTGCAATAGAAGAAACTGTTAGCATAGAACTTACAGCTACATCTATCCATTTCAATTGTAAAATGATGAGACTTTGTTCCTAATCTAGTACTGTGCTTAAATTCATAAAGTCTAGGTACCATAGAGGAAAGTTCATTAGAACAATTATCATCAAAATATTTATAGAAAAGGCACAGGGAAGCTATGTTATGGTAATGGGAAACGGACTGAAGCCAAAATGCTTGGTTAGGACCAATAACATTACAGATTCTTTGGATTTTATCAAGGATCTTTAAATATATATCAGAAGCACCAGACCAGATGTGGCAGCAATATTCAAAACAAAGGCAAATAGTAGACTTATATTCAAAACAAAGGCAAATAGTAGACTTATAAATATGTAAGATAGACTCTGACGAGAAAAATTGTTTAACACGAAATAGTAAAACAATTTTCTTAGCTGCAGACTTAGGTTTGAGTCATGGTTAAAGTGAAGCCCTGGGCACCACTCAAACAGTGCCGTAAATTGTCCAGCTCCCTTGGAATTTTCTGTTTAGGATACTTCAGGCATCAAGGATTGATCCTGACTCCAACCAATTGGATGCACCTCACTATTATTTTTGTGCTTCATGTTTTCAATTTATAAGAGATTAATAATAAAAAGGCAATGTACTGTATAAAAATGTGGTTGAAATTAAGTCTTTATTAATTTCATTTTCTTTTTTTTAATAATTTGTTTTGTGCTTTTTTTACAGGCTGCTGCTGATGTTCAAATGGTGGAATCTGCTGTTGAAGATGAAGATAAAGAGAGTTGGATGCTGGTTGAGCTTGGTTTGTTACATGCCCATTGTTATGACTGTTACAATCGGTTTTGTCGTGTGCGTCCAAATGACAATGGTAGTGCACCTGATGGAGTGATCACATGCTGCCCAATGACCAATTGCTCTCTAGGCTGTGGAGCAGTCTATCACTGTTGCAAACAAGCTGAACATACGCATCTGTGTCCCTATGAACGTGTGCCTTGTACAAATGCAGCCTATGGTTGTCCTGTCATAATGCAACGGTTTACAATATCAAGTCATCTCGAGGTGTGCCCAGCCAGTGTGATATTCTGCTCTATTGAGTGGAATCGTTGGCCAATGCATTCAATGGAAGAAGGTGTTAAAGCACCATTGCCTTTAGAAAATCGGCATCTTCGATGCCAGCAGTTGGATGTTGCCTTAGCTTTGCGTGACCAACGGATGCTAATTGAATCGCGCAAAGCTCCTCGCAGAACCCATCGCATCTTGAGAAACTCTCTTACCCAGCGTTACCCAGCAGCACCTTTCCTGCATCACAGTAGCTCATTTGACTCTGACAATTTAAACTCTGCTGATACGTCTAGAACAGTATCTGATGATGACAGTGATGCGCCCTGGGACAATGCAAAATCTCCGCCAGGCTTGCAACGAAGTGTGTGTAGTAAATTGTTCCGAACATTAGACGAACAGTCCATGAACAGTTTTCCAAATTCACTCATTAAGTCTTCACAAGATAATAACAAGTCCAAAGCAGACAGTCCGACCAAGACAAAATGTGTAGAGGATGGTCACCTAAAACTGTTGCAACTTGAAAATGAATTCCCGGTGATTTGCTCACACTGTAAACACAGAAAATCAACATCGAATGAAGTCTTTGTCGAGCCTTCTAACAGCAATTGTCAACAATCGGAATGTTTAAATAAAGACTGCAGCAGTGAGGCTCATGCGGCCAGTGAAAGTTTGGTTAGTGAACCTCAGACAATCACCCACCCACAAATTGAAGAAATCTCAGCATCTGAACTTTTGTCTCACTTAGGCCCTGACCAGGTCTGCCAAGCCCCAGTCTGTGATGTCAGTTCAAAAGATGGCTCCGTTTCCAGACAGGTGCAGGCCATAAAACTGAATGAATTGCTTGGCGTGGCACTTAACATTGAATGCATGACACGTTACCAGGCAAAGCCAAGGTCAATGTTTACATTTCTGTGTGCCCAAGAATTTCGTCGAGATGAATACGCTTGGCACTATAAGAATGTTCATAATGACATCCATTGTGGCTTGAATGGGTGGCAGGAGCAGCGATGTCCACTTGCTCACAGTGGATGTACATTTTCATTCCGCAGGTTTTATCCTGGTCAATCCAAGTCTCGTCTTGTGCACAGCAGCTTGGTGGAAAGTTTTGGAGTAAAGACCTCGAATTGCACAGACGAGACAATGATCTCGGCTCCTTATGAGGTACCCCCTACAATTCCACTAACCATGCACTGTGAATGTAAGAATCAATCCCAAAATAAGAGTCTCCCAGGTTCTCGGGAGATGACGCCTGAAATTGTCACGTCCTGCCAGTATGATTCCTTGGTTAGGGTTTTGCAAATTGAAAGAAGTCATGAGCCGCCTTCTCCAGAATGTGATTTTCTTAGCATGCTGCCATTTGAGGTTTTGCAACAAATCTTGCGACATGTTGACAGTTTTAGTTTGTGTAATCTAGCTATCACTAGCAAGAGACTAAGGGAAGCTTGTGCCAATTTATTGGAGGAACGAGGACTTGTCACTCAGATTTGGCAAAAGGAGGTTCTTGAAGGCAGTAATAAATGCCACTGGAAAGTTGCTTACAAGGTATGTACATATATCACTCTCTTTATCAGTTTCTATTTTTTTTTCTGTAAATTTTAAAACTCACCCAATGCAAGGCTCGAGACCCACTCAAGGTTGAAGGTTACTTTTAAAATGCTAAATGAATGAAGTGTATGACATGGTAGGAAGTGAAGCTAAGGAGGATAGGTAACAATTGATTTTTTGTCTGAAGAGCTATTTTTAATAAAATATGTCTGAGACACATCAAGCCATATTGAATATCTTGGGAATCAGTTGTGCAGCCTTGATGTAACTTGGGAACAAATCAGAGGGTACCTAACTACACATGTAAACAGACACTCACCTGTGAGGTTACTCAGTCAGGTGTCAGATGCTATTGAGCAAGTTTACATATTGTTTGGCTGTCACATTCACAATGACTGAATGAATAGATGCTTAATATACTGTGTAGGAATTTTTGGAAAAACATTCCATCACCTAAGTCCTTTGTCTCCATCTACAGTCCAGATTTGATTTCCAGTGAGTTTTGGCTTTTTTAAACATTAAATAGACAATGAAAAACCAAGGACGAGATTAAGGAGAATGTGATGAAACAGCTGATGGTGATCCTGAAATAGGTCTTTGCCGATGTTTGAATAGTTTAAGGGATGCTGAGATAAGTGTATGAAGTTCCAAGAAGAACAGTCTTTTTAAAGGGATTACAGTGCCATTTCCCTAGGTTAGCTCTTTTCCTATTATAATTATATGGCTGAACTTTTTACATTATTGTTCCCAAGAGCCACTCAAGGTAGAGGATTACTGAATGGGGTTGTTTCATGGATTTAAGAGGAGGAGGTAAAAAGTGCAGATTATGAGGATATGTAGGATAGATAATAGTTGACCCTGGACTTGAAGAGGTCAAGATGATTGTAGTGATTTGGGAAACACTCTCAGGGGACTGTTCCATAAACTAGCAGCTCTTGCAGATAAGCCGCCTGTATGGGACTATCTCTTTACGAATGGAATACGAAAGGAAAGAGGATGATTCAACCCTGTATACATGGCTTAGTAGGTGTTAGCTTGTAATGGTCTGAACTGGTGTAACTAAGGAATGTAGCTCATCAGAACATTTTTAATGGAAAGTGAATGGTTTGCAATGTTTTGTCCATGAGAAAGAGGTTGTAGGGTAGAAAATAATTCATCACCCACAGGGCTGTATAGCTGTTTCTGAACAAGGTTAGACAATAAAAATTGGGCATCTCCAGTTCAGATATGGCAGCTGTGTATCATTTTTGGTCTGATGTGACTTGTGTAAAAGCAGAATGCAAATTATATGAATTCTTATTTTTAGTCAATAAAAACCTGATAAAATGTAGGAGATATATTAAATTTAGTTGCTACAAATTCTAAAATGTCAGTGCATATTAGATCATTGCAAAGTTTGAGCCCAAACTTAAAAACAAAAATTTTACATACTCACAGAAAAAAAAACATTAGTCAAGTACATAGTCTCCACTATCTCCTATCGTTCTACAAGCTTGTTGATATCATTTTCATAGAAACTTTGTTTTTTGTTGGAAGAAGGTTGTGAGGTAGTTTTTGACCGACTGTAAAGTGTCAGATTTTTTTGTCATTTAAATTGTTCTGTAGAGACTGAATCAAATGAAAATCTGAACGAGCCAAGCCAAGAGAATACAGTGGGTGCTGGAGGGTGGGATTCCATTTCAGTTCTTTTAAACTTCTGCAAGATCCTTTTTTACAACATGCAGTCTTGTATTGTCATGGCAGAAAATGATACCTTTTTCATTTGTCATAATCAGCTGTTTTTCTTGAATCCAAGTCTCTTCCAATGGTAAAAAGTAGTTAATATACATTTTACAAACTTTTACAATGATCTAATAAAAATAGATATATTTTTCCTCCAGAATTTCGTTGCCCAAAGTTAGCATTGCATATGTGACGCAAATAATTATGGTAACAAGACTGCGAGAAAAGCAAATGGTCTACTGTGAAATGTGTATAGTAAATATTTCTTTTCTTTTTTTTTACTGGCTTATCTATTTTTTGTGGGGTGGGGTTGAAAGAGAGAAAATAATATAGAAATCTTTATTTTAAATGCTTATTAAGTTTTACACACTGCCTTTGGCACTGTGTAAAACTTAAACTGCATTTGTATAAGGGTTTGACTTTTTGATTGTAAAAGCAAGAGGAGTCAGAATGATGTAAATGAGGATGAATTGTGAGAATAATTAGGAACTTTGTTTCTCTCATTTTCTCTTCAAATCAATCTACTTAGAGGTTTTATTTGTTGTAGAGTGGAGGTTAACTCTGTTCTTAATTAGGACTTAGCAGGTAGTCTGTATTTGTGAACATTCATACATGTCAATTCTTGCATTTATAATGAAAATTGTACAGAAACCTTTTAGAATTTTTATTTAAGTCGTCCTTGAAAAGTTGCTGCCTTTTTAGTTTTGATTGAATATATTCAAACATATTGGGAGTAAGTTTCATTACAACTTTACCCTGAATAGCTCTTTATAAAACTGAGATATATGTTGAATAAATTGTCCTTATTCGCCTATTGATAAAATTATTGTAAAATGTTCAGATTTAATTAATAAATACCTCAGTTTAAAAATGAGGCATTTTTAATGAAATTTGACTTTGAAAATATGAGCTGAAATTGTGAATATTTTAGTTAATCTTGTTAAATACAATTTATATTGTATCATAGATCCACCCTGAAACGTTATTATCATATGGATGGATAATGCCAGGTTAGGATCAACATATTCCGTGCAATGATATTCCTTTTTATTTCTCAATTAACGTTCAGTTAAAGGATTTTTGAATAAGGGTTAGGGTTGCTTCCCTTGTATTATATCACCGGTGGAATAGATAAAGTAAAAAAAAAAAGTAAATATTAATTCAATTAGAATTTAATTGAATTTAATTTTCCCGGATCCCCTAAATGACACATTCGACCGACTGTAGACCAGAGACAAACGAAACAATCGATGTTAATAAATATAATATTTTTAATAACACAAAAATGGGACAAATGACAATAACATATAAACGGATAGCATGAAATATTGCGTCCAATCAAAGTTGGGAGAAAATGAGTGATAACATATGTAATGGGATAATATTAATAATCTGATATTACGTATGTAATGGTGTTTGCATGAACATAATGTTATTGTACTGTTGCAAGCTATGATAATATCAGGGATGGGGTTTAGGAACTTATCTGATATTTTGTGATTTAGCGGACGATTTTGATAACCATTCCTTTTTTATATGTATTTCTTTCTGATGACTGGAGGTTAGATCTCAATCTGGATCATGTCTTCCACCTCGAGGTTTGAATTCAGGATTCCTCCTTGAGATGACGATATTTGAGTTGTGAAGGTCTACTGCATTAGACCCTTTTACATTCTCGGCACTGGAACAATCTGATTTGTTTCTCTGCCTCGGGGAACGTGCGGTCTCAGCTTATTATTTGGAGTTTGCAGTTGATGTGACTTCACTCATCAACGGCTGGCCTGCTACTAATTTTCTAGAGTCACCACATGCGTCTCTTCGTTTTTGGCGCCTAAATTCCTGCTTGCTGATTGGCTGCTCTCGACCAATCGCGTTGCTGCTTATGCGTGCTGCTGCTGGATTTATTTTTAGCTTTCGCCTACGCGTGTGTGATTTAGGTCATGGTGTGGGAAGAGGATGGGTGTTATATATGTTGGCTTGCATTTGTCACAATTGTATGTATGTATGCATATACTTGCCAAATCATAACTGTAAAAGCTGTTAATGTGGTTCATTCACTCATGTCTGCCTAGTGTTTGTTTAAATTGACACCTTCCCCTACCCATATCTAAACTATAATTTTGGAATGTGAAAATTTCACTGAAACATGTTGGGATTTTTCCCTGATACCAAGAAAATATGAACTTTATACAAAATGGTCAAACTATACATACATTATATAATATATGACAAACTGGAAAGTTTTTTTTTTTTTGATGCATTTCATCCATTAGGATTTCATTGGACTGAGCTTTGTTGATGTTGCCACATATATGCATGTACATGAAACGAGAGAATGTACTTGGAAAAAATAAATCTAAAAGTAATATGAAATAAAAATAAATATGAACTTTGGCAAATTTGCCAATAACATAATTGCTGCCAAAATACACTATATATATATATATATATATACACACAGGTAAGATGAGAATGAATAGAGTACAATTCCAATGTTCGTAAAATTTAATTTAAGAGTGCCCAATACAATCTTCTGAGGAGACGCATTGATATGCATTGAGACACGACTGCAATTGTGTAGCAATTTTTTACATGTTTTTGTTTTAATATCCCTAAAATATATATATATATATATATATATATATATATATATTGGGCACCTCGGCGTGGTGTAATGGTTAGCAAGCTTGTCTCGCTAGATCAGTTACAATTGAAAAGTGAGTTCGATTCTCACTAGATGCCCCATACTTTCAGCCTTGTGCCACATCTAAGCTATGCTTGGAAAATAACTATATGGACACCTCGAGGTGGTGTAATGGTTAGCAAGCTTAGCTCACTAGAACAATTACGACTGAGTAGTGAGTTCGATCCTCACTGGGTGCTCCCTAATTTCGGCCTTGTGCCACATCTAAGCTACGCTTGGAAAACACTATAAGAGCACCTCGGTGTGGTGTAATGGTTAGCAAGCTTGTCTCGCTAGATCAGTTACAACTGAAAAGTGAGTTTGATCCTCACTAGATGCCCCATACTTTCGGCCTTGTGCCACATCGAAGCTATGCTTGGAAAATAACACACATATATATATAGTGTCAGTTTAAACTGGTATTATAGATTTATAAAATGCCTTGTATTAATTATAGGTTTCTGCCTATAATACATTAATGCCCCCTGCCTGCAAAATGGGATGGTGAGCTTTAATGAAGTAACCTAGAAAAGTAATCTTTTAAATTACTTTTGTCTTTTTGATCTGTTCTCTTTCTAAATGTATTACACTCAATATCAATATCCTGTGTTCTCGGTTGTGAAATTGGTTTTAAAATAAACAGAACATTATAATCATGACTAAAATTTCTCTGAAAATAAGCATTGATTAATTTGTGTTTTATGGTTTATTAACCTTTTTGCAGGTTATGAAGCCAGAAAATATTTTAGCTTGCAAGAATGGTTTTGAGATAATAATGATTTACCTACTAATTAACCCATAGCTAGGGGGAAGAAGAGGTGGGTCCAACTTTTCTCAAGGGTATCTGTGTGTAAAAGAATCTAATGATCCTGACTGGAATTGGAAGTCTGCTCTCTGGTCTCTAATTGTGAGCTGTTATCCATTACACCAGCCACACATCCAAGTTTACAGCACCTAGTATTCTCAAGCAGTCACCCATCTAAGTACTGACCGGACTCAACTTTCCTTAACTTTGTTGATTGTACTGTAAAAAATTTATAATAATAATGATGTTACAAAATATACTTTTTTTTTTTTTTTTTTTGATGGCATGGGTAAACTAGTGTTTATTTAAGATTCTATTGGATGTAAAATGGGGGCTAGTTTTTCTGTTGTTACTGAGTAATAAATTGATCCCCATGTTATGTATCATATATTATAATAAAGTGTATTTAAACGTGATCTGGCTGTAAGCCCTGAAAATAAGCAGCACAGAAGACAGAAGTTAATAATTTTGTTATAAGAAAAAAAAATCATTTTTTAATTTTTTAATTTCAGAAATGGAATTTTAGTCCTGCGTTCACTCCTGTAAAATTTTGGGGTTTCAATGGTCACAATCCACTTTCTGAACACCTGAAAGTGTGCCCTTTTAACCAGGATCCCGCAAGGCACAGTCAACCATTTCACTTGCCCAGTGACAGTAAAGCCGCAACACGTTTGTCTCATCAGCATTCGCCCAAGCACAATCCTGACGAGCAACAAGAACACCCACAGCAGCCGCATCCATTCTATGCTCAGTTTGATGATGTTCCTGAATTGAATTTACAAGTTTGATGTTTCTCATCTTTAAATAAAGAATACACACACACACACACACACACACACACACACACACACACACAGGTAACCTGCTGTTTTCTTAACTTACTGGGCTGAAATTTGAATTGTTTCCTTCTCAATTCCTGCATTCAGACACCCTTAAACTTTTAGATTATTTATTAAGTAAGAAACACGAAGGACCTTTGCAAGAGAAAAAAATACAATCAAAGTGTTCCTGCTGCAATTAGATTTGAATAGAATTTTTGTATGATTATTTTTTTTCCTGTCTCTTGTAATTATTGTCTAAAATATTTTTGCTTTTTTTTTTATTCTTGCTTGTCTTAGTTATTTTTGTTTCAATCAAATATTTTCTACTGATTTAAAAATATTAATTTTGTGTGCTTAAAATTACAAAAAAAATCTTTTTTAATTTCATAAAGCTGATATTTGAAGGTATATTTTCAATTTTGATGGTTTGATAATTTTGATCTCTCACTAATAACTTGAGCATACCACGTTTTGGAGGCATTCAGCTTGTTTTTTTTTTTTTGTTGTTTTTTTTCCACTTCTTGGAATCAGCTAATTGAAATTAAGTCCAAAAACTGAAAGAAATAAAAAAAAAAAAAGAAAAAAAAAAGACAGTTTATCCACGAATTCAAATTGTGGGCTTGATTCTTTTAACTGTTAAACTACTAATGAAAATAAGTTTGGGTTTTGATGAAATTTAAAAAAAAAGAAACATGAATAAAATTAGCAACTCATGAATAATATTGAATTTTGGGGATTCTTTAAAAAGAAAATTTCTGCATTATCTATTGGCATTGCTTTTTTTTTTTTTTTCCCTTCCTTTGTCCTCACCTGATAGAAATATATTTTTTATGAAAGACCTTTGCAGTTTATATTTTAACAATACTGGTGCTTTAAAATCTGATTACAGGTCTGTCTATAATAAAACTTTCAATTCGCAAATTATGGCTTGTTTTCATGGCTTTTCTTCAGGAAAATCAATCCCCCCACTCACAAAAAAACAAAACAAACAAAAAACATTCTGTTTATTGTTTCTATAGAATTCTATGGAATAAAGATATTTGCTGCTTTATTTTGTCTGTTACCTTTAAGGAGTAAAATGCGAATTTCCAATTTTTCATTGATTCGGAACAAGGCTTTCAATATAATTCTGCTTGTTCATTTGTTTCTTAGTTGGAACATATGTTACATCCTGCCAATACCTCATAAATAATAGACTATTCCATTTTGATCAAAAGACAAGACGGAAAATACATCTCAACAGTTCGGTTCCAGTGAGAAAAAGAAGGAAGAGAAAGTTCTCGTGTTTAATGTCTACTTCAATGAAACAAAAAACTTGTCAATTTCAAATCCTTCATCTGTACCCTCTTACTTCTTAAATAATAACCTGCATTCATACTTACTATTGTTGTTGTAATATTTGAACAATGCAATATGGGAATTTCCATGGGTATTTTGTTGTCATGGAACTCACAATGAAATTTAAATATTATGATACCTCAGAAAATTAAAATTTTTTGGGTATAACATGGTTTATTATTATTTGGAAATAATACACAATCCCTCCCCTTTTTTTTTCTCTCATTAATGTTCACCCTGCACAAGGCCCAGGAGCCATTCAAGGTAGAGGATTACATTAAGAGGCAGTTTATGCAGATAGGAGGGAAAGATAATGGTTAACCCTAGACTTGAACAGGTTAAGAGTGTAGTAATGGAAGAAACATCCTCTTGGGAGTTGGTTCCACAGAACAGAGGTTCGTGGGAAGAAGATGCTTGAGTTGAACTTGTCTCTCACCAATCGAATACGGAGGGAATGTAGGTGGCTTGTTACAATGTGAGTGGCATGACGACTCCTAGCCATGAAGGTTAGAATTGGTCGAACCATGAAAGTAGCAATAGAGCTGTGAGACGTTTGCCAAATCCTGCCTGTGAGAGAGAGAGGTTGGAGTGTGGGTAATAGTTTGTCACCCACAAGGATTCTGAAACACTTTTGAACTCTGTCAAGACTGGAAAGTGAGAACTCAGCAGCTCTCACCCAAATATGACAACAGTTCTCCACTTTAGTCCTGATCTGTCGCTTGTAGGATAGCATGTGGAGTCAGGTACTTACTGTAGCAGTACAAGGAGCCAACCATTTTTCCTACATCTTTAGCTATAAATTATATGTACAAGTTCCAGTTGAAGTCCAGTGCAAGTTTAAGGCCTAATAGTCTCTTAAGGTATGGAGCCTCCCTGAGGAGACATCCATTCATCGTAAATGACGTTCAATCAGTGATAAGAAAAAAAAAAAAAAATTGAGATTTGGTTGCATAAATACTATTATTTATTATATTTTCTGGTTTTAAAGGACCTGTAAAAGGTTGATCTCTATCTATAAAAGGCAGAATGTGTGTGTGTGTAACGAACATACGACCGCAATTTTCGACGGATTTGCACCAAAATTTACATGCACATGCTCCAAGTTAGCGGGAAGGCCAATTGCATTTTCCAACTCCCATCGATAGTGGAAATAATCAATTTTTTTCATGTAATTTGCGGCCATTTTGTACTGGCCAGAGTGAGAGCCTATAGCTGGCTGCCACGAATAGGCAGGAAGATTCTATTGGCCAGCATGAGAGCCAACAGCTGACTGACACAAATGTTAACTAGCATGCTAGCATGCAAAAAAAAAATCGATAGCTGCATTTGTCACAAGTGGGAAAAACTTAAATGTGCATGGCACTTTACTCCAATTGCTCATTTGCTTGTATAAACTCAACGTTGATTCTGATTCTGCAGAACTGGGTTGGGTGTGAAAAAGTATTTGTTGTTAACATTCTTTTTTCATTCGGTTTTTCCAGTTACGAGTCCTTTTTTTAAAGTTGATCATTTTGTGTTCATTTTGTTTAGTTTTTTTTTTTTCGTAACAGATTTAGTGTTCAGTATAGAGCTTAGAAAAATTTTGAAGTGTGAGATAGGCAAGAAGTAAGGCATGTAGCAACATCAGCACGGCAAAGGGCACTCCTTTAAAGGTAAGGAAGGGCAAAAATATTTTAAGTCAAGTGATAGTGATTGCTGTATGAGTCATACGATTTTTGAATCAAGCACGGGCAATGCTGGGCCATGCTGCTAGTAAATCATAAAAAATGAATCAATAAAAAGCAAGAGGAAGGAAGATGAAAATCTCACTTAAACAACAACGAAAAAAAACAAAAACAAAAAAAACAAAGCAATTCCTGTTTTCAATGCATTTGGTTATTTATTCATGGTTTCACCTGGCATGGTTTTCAGGTGGGTAGGTTGGAGACATTTGAGCTATATTCACTATTACTTCTGTCTTCTCTCATGACAAACTAACAGACCACATCTTCCTTTTTGTTGACAAGAACTCTGACCATTGTTCTGCTAGTCTCTGATTGCAACTGTCTCTATATTTCTGGCTGATGACATGTTACACACCCTAACAACCAACTTCTTTCTGATCACTATCTCAATCTCCTATATGGAAGGCCTGTCATTCAACATTTCATCATGCAGCCTGATTATATAAACCCATGACCAGAATCCTGTACTTTTTGGCCAAGTGGAACTTGATCCTGAGTATTTTCATTTATGGGCTTACTGACATATCACATTGAAACACCAGTTCTCATCCGATCACCAAAGTTAAGCAGCATTGAACCTAGTCAATACCTGGATGGGTGATCACTTGCGAATACCCAGTGCTATAAGCTTAGATGTGTGGGTGACATAATGGCTAACATCCTAGAATCAGAAATCAGAGTAAAGTTCAAATTGCAGTCAAGTTCTTTATATTCACTTACATGCAAATACCCTTTGGAAAGGTATAAATCCACCTCTTTTCCTCCCAGCTATGGATTAAATAGTAAGGCTTGTATCAGAAAATCATTATTTCAAAAAAAGTTTTAAAATCAAAAATGTTTTGGCTTTAAATAACATTAAAATGGTTGATAAGCTGTAAAAAAAAAAAATCACTTAATCAATTTTTATATATTTAAATTGCTTCATGCCCCTTCACAGCAGATATCTACTTTGCAGATCTCATACCAGTACTTGTTTATTGTTGGTCATAAAACACCAAAGCCTTCAGTCCCAGATAAAACCATTTAGAGTCCACCGGACTTTGTGAGTGTTCTAATCATGACTAGCTCCTATTGTGTCATATAGGAACTTCTCTTTTTTTCTTGTAATAACACTGCATTTTGCAGTGCTGTATTCTGGTGTGACTCTGTTGTTACATGTTTCTCTGTTGAGCCCGTTCTGCACCAACCCTGTGTCTCCATGTTGTGTTTCAGTATCCACAGGAATATTGAAGAACTGTTGAAGATCAGGTTTGACTCCTCTTTGTCCTAGCTATGCCTGTGAAAGATCATCGATTTTTACCAGTAAACTTAATTAACTTCATCAAGACATTAACAAGCGTAAAAATAACAACCTTTGTTTATGGTACTATGATGGATTGAGATCATGAATACATAAATGAAAAGGATTTGAAGAAGTCTCCCTGTATAAAGTATTCTTCAGCTGGGAGGAAGAGGTTGGCTGGCAGTTGCAGTTATGGCTAAACAATCCAGTGTTGTTCAATTATTTAAATGAAGGCAACTGATCAAGGGAGTTCAAAAAGCACTGTACAGAACACGTCTTTAGCTGAGTGATTCACCATGGTCATCCAGCAAAGAGAGTATTGTGGCCAAGTTGATCTTTTCATTTGCGGCAACTGCTTTTTTGGGGGTGTAAACACCAATTGCACTACTTTGATTGGCTAGCCAATACTAATACTTGACCAGTGGTCTTGTGCCATACACATTGGAGGGGGTGGAAGGAAACCCTCCAAGAAGCCAGTATAATTGGTGGTCCAATCAAAATAAAGACCCTGTGTCATAAGTATTGGAGGGGGAGCTGAGAAACTCCATCCCATCCCAAATCTATAATGTGCCCCCCCATTCTACTACATCTTAATTTTAATAAGGTAGTATTAGTATTCATATAAAATACAAATTTTATAGTAACCTAATTTTGTACAATAATGGATCATATGCAATATAATTCAACTATAAAACTTGAAAATAAATACAATGTACCTAAATACAAATTAGAGACATGTAATAGATCATTCCATTTTAAATAAATCAACAACAATTTGTGTCAATTTTTAATGTCAACTTGAGATTTTTCTTGTTAAAAAGTTGAATAATTTTAACACATTCGACATTATAGATAAAAAAAATTAGTGAATTTTATATATTGTTTTCTTTTGCATGAGCAAACAAATTCACAGATTTGGACAAAACAAAGATCCCAGAATGACGTCAAAATCTGCAAAAATTCTTCATCCTTTAATCGTCAGTTGTGCTTAGTTTAATTTGTAATGTAAATAAATGTAGGCAGAAAAAAAGCAATGTTGATAAGATAGCAAGGCTCACAAATCACTGTCTGGAGGCCCCCAGTTATGCTTGAATGTTGGAGGATTTGGGGGTTGTTTGCACCAGCCCTGCACTGACAAATGGGAGAGTAGAACAATAGAGTGTACTCCCAAACCAATGACAGGAACAATCTCAGAAATTTAAAAAGAATTCAATGGACTTTTGAAAAGATCTTAGGCCATGTCATATTGACTGATATCAATAAAAATAGACAAAACTGAAGTGAAAATATTTCCAATTTCTGTTTAATCAAAGTTTATAACCGCTTTCTTTATTCTTTTAGTAGTCAGGCAAGTGATGTGCAGAAGGGGGAACAACTCCTTTATTGTATGTTTCTAAGGCTCAAGTAGGGGGCTTATAGGACTTAGTACTGAGAAATATGTAAAAACAGATGAAACATGAAATAAACACTTCATTCAAATACTTCTGAATGGAGCGGGGCACTTATGACTGGGGTAACTATGTATAGTAGGGAGGTGTGATTTTTATCTTGGTCTCAAGTTTCGTGTTTTATGGCTGGCAGATAAAATCTTTGAAGTCAGGTCTTCTAAGTAGCATCCAATTGGCTGAAAGGGAACAAATGAATAAATATGGGAAAGGTTTTGGGATCAAGTGACAGTAAAACCGGATATTGAGAATTTCTGGCCACAGGTCTATTAACAGCCACAGTTGGGATTGAAGAAGTTAGTTCTGATCTTTACTTAGCATGGAACAGACTGTCTCTCAGATATTTCTGATGCCACCCATTTGAGTTGCCAGAGATGTGTTGTGATGCTGAGGTGGGCCAAGAGTCGGGAGTAAGAGTTAAAAGGGAGAGGTGATCTGTTAGTCCAACATGGTAGAAGTTGTTCCACATGTCATATACTTACTTACCAGGACCATGCAAGTGAAGCCCTGAAATAAATGCCTAAATATATCAAATGATTTTGAGTCCTCATTTTTTGCCATGTTGTCTGTTTTCATCTGAGCTTGCAGTAGACCTGTCTACTAGAGCAGATAGTGAATCCCTATTGCAACATCTGCAAACACCCACTCTGGCAGTGTTTATTTAACACCCACAGAGCCCACATGTGGTTTATACTACAACTATGCTGAGCAGACCTTAGTTAGAGTTTCTGGGAGATCAGAAGCCCGAATAAGGCTGGCACACTCAAATCCCTTAGTCACGATGACTTGTGACCATGTGCTAGCACAACCATTGGTGTCTCCCAGATATTTCTGTCAATTCACAAGATTTGCGTTAATTCATGATATAGTTTTCAGTCACTGTCCAAAGATGCTGAATGCTAGGATTGCCCCCACCACTCACCAATAACATCAAGAAGTCACCTTATTGACAAATCGAATATAGTGAGATTCGAACCTGGGTCTCATGGTTAGAATGCCCAGAATGCTGACACTAATAAGAATAGAGATGAAAACATGGAGTAGCCATTGGCTGGCCAGTGGGAAGCTGGGTGAGGGCTATATTGTATGTTTACACTTACTCAAAGAAATATAATATTTAACTAGGATTCTAACACTGTAAGTAGTTTAAATATATTTATTTATATGTAGACTACTTTGTTGTTGCTATCACAATGTTTTTGCCATTGTGCCCATTGGCCTTGCTCAGGTCTATGTCAATCTGGGTAAACTACAGGGAATTCTGAACTTAACCCTTTACTTGCATTATTTACATGGACCATTATCCTCATCCTCATTGCTATATTCACAATGTTTCAGCTGTTGTACGCTCTGATCTTCTTCAGGGGATTGGAATTTCAAACCACCGGGGTAGATTGTTCTAGTGCCACGTGCTATGCCTCTTACAGCAGGTGAAATAAAGGGTTTGGTTCAAAATTCCAATCACCTGATGAAGGTCAGCGCATACAACAACTGAAACATTGTGAATATGGCAATGAGGATAACGGTCCGAATAATGTAAATAATGCATGTAATCATAATACCTCATCTCAGAGATAGGGCAGATATTAACGCTTTACTTAATCTATGGGAAACACACTGTTCTTGTTCCACTGCCAGAGTCTAGGGATATCTCTTTTCATTCTTATTTTTAATATTGCTCAGTTATTGTTTGCACTTTTTCCACTGAGTCCAAGTACACACTGCCTGACCCAGGGATTGAACTCACAATTACTATGTCACCAAATTCACGAACCAAATTTCAGTCCATTTTTTTTTTTTGCCCATTTTTGTATTTTTCAGTTTGTGAAAAGAAAAAAAATTATGATTTTTAAAAAAATTTTTTTTTTTTTTACAGTGGTGTTCACCCAGTACAAAGCCCTGGGGCCACTCAAGGTAGAGGGTTATAGAGTAGGGTACAGCTTATGTGGACATGTGCAGAAGATAACAGTTAATCCTAGACTTGAACATGTTAAGATTGTTGTGATTGGGGAAGTAGCTTCTTGTGAGTCGGTTCCATAAAGCATCAGTTCATGAAAAGAAGCTGCTTGAGTAGAGCTTACATCTCACCAGGGCGATATAAAAGAAATGGGGGTGGTTTGTTGCATGGCATGGTGGGTCTTAGATGGTGAAACTAAGGAGTGTACTTCATTGGAACACTCAATCAAGAGGCTTGTGACGTCTCATCTGTGAGAAAATGGTTGCAGAGTGAAAAATAATTTATCCATATAACTTAATTTGAGATAAATTTATTTCAGTTGATAAATTCTATTATTTAAAATTTTGTCATCAATTTAGTGAAAATAGAGCTGAAAATTAATTTCTAAAAAATTTAGATTAACTGCTTCCATTGGTAAGGAGGAAGTTCCACTCAGCTAGCTTCTTTTCTAGAATTGTTACAGATCTCTTAGAAAATGCCATGGTTAAAAATGCTTTTGCATAAATGAAGCCGGTCTCACTTGAAGACTTTCAACAACAGCAACAAGTAAAATGTGTAGCACCTGTAACTTGAACGATTAAAAAAGTTAGAAAATTATTATTGCAAGTGTACTTGTGCCATCAGAAGAGGTGTCTGCGAAATGTCGAACCACTTTTGAAGACTGTCCTGATGTTATATAGACCACAGATCCTCTGTATTTACTCCAATAATCACTTCACATAAGGTAGGCAGACTGAAGCTGTTTTCTGAGTACTGTTATTCTCTTGTACCCTCCTATTCCAGTTTGTTGGAGCTGCTGCCATGTACCACATATGGAGGGAAAAGGAAAATAACTGAGATATCCGGAAGAAGCATGACATGTGGAACTAGAACAATCTACCCCGGTTTACGAAAAAAAGGGTTTGGTTTGAATTTCCAATCACCTGAAGAAGGCCAGAGTGT